GAGTGGATTTTGCTTTTGCTGGTGTGTTTCAGTGTCATTGACAAAACCAGAGCCCTCTCTCTGGGCACTGACAACCAAGGACTGACCCCCAAGAGTCTACAGCTCTGAAACTTGGAACAGTGGCTGGCTTGCTATTTAGTTAGCACATCTTCCCCTCTGGGCTTCCTATGTGTCTGCCTGACTGACCCCAGTGGAGCCTTTCTATAAGGAAGGTTATCTTGATGAGAAAGATTCCCTCGTCTGGGCTCCCAGGCTCCCAGGCTCCCAGGCTCCCAGACGATCCTTGGTCTGATCCTCCCTGGTAAACTCATGTGACTGTTCATTTTGTTTTCACAATAGAACAGCTTTCTCACAAAAGCATCCCAAAGACTCAAGTACATCATTTAGGATTCCAAGTTTTCCCTCTTAAGGAGAATGGCAGTCCTTTAAAATGTGCCTTGCATCAGAGAGAGGTGACAAGTGGGATGAGGAGGTAACTGTGGGTAAAACCTTTAAAAAATGAACAAGTAATTCCATTAAAGTAATTAGGGCAAAGGTTCTAAAAGAGACCATGTTAAGAAACCTGATTCAAGAGCTGTAATTTAGCCAAGTGTATTGCTAAGTAATTCCAAGATTACTCAGCAGCTTAGTATCCTCTTTTGGAGTTTCCCTTGATAAGATGTTTCCTTAATGAACTTGCAGGTGCTCATCTTCTTAAACATGAGAAGGTTGGAAAAAATAGTATCACAACCAGAGACAGTGGGATAATTTTCTCTGCCCTCACCTCTATGAAAGAAATATCTGCCCAACTACCACCTCCCTACCCTTTGGATACCTCTTCATTCTAGTTTAATAATCTTTGATTTCAAGGAACAGAGATGCAATGAAATTAGTTCAAACAAAGACAGGGAGAAGGAGAAAGGATTACATAAGGTAAAGACCACCCACCAAGCTCAGCAGAATCACATGCAAATTGGAGCTGGAACCTCAGAGGGTCTCAGAAATGTAGCTTCTCCTCCACCCCCTCTCTCTGCACCATTGGGTCTTGTATTTCTGCTTCTCATGCACATTCCTTCCATTTTCCTCACTGCCTCTGCTTCCTGGGTTTCCATGATTCTGGGAGGCAGAATCATGTCTGTAGATATTTCATAAATTCACTTGAGAATTACCTTAGCTGGTTTGCATTCCCCGGCTCTGCCACTTACCAGCTGTGTGACCTTAGGAAAGTGATCGCATCTCAGTCTGGTTTCCTCATTTTCTAATGAAGATAGTGCTATCGCCCACCTGATAGGATTAGTCCAGTGCCTGGCACACAGGAAGCATGTCAGAAATTGCAGCAACTAACACTATCATTGTGGCTGCTACTGTTGTCACTACTTGTAGTTACTTCTAATTCGAGCTGCCACACAGCTTTGGCTTTTCAGGACGCAAAGGCAACCTACTCCATAGGTGACCTTGCATTCTAGCTACCCCAGACAACAGTCCTGGTTTGTAGTGTTCTCAGTAAAGCTCACATGGGTGCCTGCCATGGTTCCATCAGCTGTTATCACCCAAGCCCTCATCAGAAGGATCTATTGGTGAAGGATGCTCCTAAGGAAGTATGCTTTGAATGTGACACATCCCCCAAAACATATCTTCTACATTCTTCCATGAACATTAAAACAAAGCTAAATAGTTTTTAGCTTTTCTTAAAGCTATTATTCTTAGAACTCCTTATTCTCTATTAAGAGTCCAGTATAGCAAGGATACTGTCAGGAAACACTTTTGATTCTGAAGGTCTCATGTATCTTTTTTTAAATGTTAGGGTGAAATCCTCTCAGAGATTAATGCTGGGCCCCAAAATACCTGTCAGCCCTCAGAGCGTGTTCTCTCCTCTCTTAAAATCCACACAGTTCAAATCAGTGAACCTGTCTCTGCCAGAGACCTGCTATCCTGTGACAGGTGTCTAACTCACCCCACAGCATGTTTTTTTTTTTTTAATTCCCCAAACTAAAATCAATAGCTTTTATTAATCTACATCTTATTCTTTCTATATACCGGTTTCTAATATGTGATCAGTACTTGTCTGTGCCCACATTTTCTGCTCATTGGTCATAATGGATGCTTCACTTGAGAATTAAACCCAGAGCTCAGCCACAGTTTCCCCTCCAGTTTCCCTGTGATTTAAGCAGCCTGTCCAGACATGCTCTAACTGCAGGTGCCCACAGTGCTCTCCTGCACCTCGGTTACTCTTGACTTCATGGCCACAGCTGATAAACAGCACCTGAACCTAGGATCATGGCAACTTAGAATGTTTGAGTCAGTTTCTATTAGATTCACAACTATGGAGATGGTTAAAAGGAAAAAAAAAACTGCCTTCAGTAGGCAGTTGGTTTGGGGTGGCCTGGGCATTTTGTTCATGATATCAATATTCAGGAGATTTAAATTTTTTTAATTTAAAATTAAGATAATTTGCATACAGTAAAGTTCACTCTCTTTACTATGCAGTTGTCAGATTTTGACATCACATACAAGTCAGGTGGCCATCACTTTAACAAGATACGGAACAGTTTCATCACCCAGAAATGTTCCCCTATGCTCCTTTTTGGCAGATACTCTACTCTAAAACACTCCCTAGGTGATTGAGATGGGCAGCCATGCAGGGGAATCAGTGATAGGGTCCCAACCCTTTTACAAATGGAAAAGTTGTGTGACTTGCCCAAGATCATGCTGCTTGACAGCTGGGGCTAGGACAGAACCCAGGTCGTCGTTTCTCAGTTTTACTTTCTTCCAACACATGCCACTTATTCTAAAGTATTCGTGTCCACAGTGGTTCCTCCAAGTAAAAACATATCTATGAAACAAACAATACAATGAAATAACCACAAACTGAAATGAAGAAACCCCAAATTAAAACAGAGTGAAATAAAACGGCCACAACAGGTGGCCTGAGATTCCTTAAATTTACCTGAACATACTCAGCAGCAATAGCAAGATAGGAAGGAATGATTGTACCTTATTTCCAGCACAAAGTGCTGCTCTTTTCTTTCTTTCTCTTTTTGCAAATACTGTGTGTCCTACCCCGTGCTAAAGTACACCTGTGGCGAATCACCTTTAGAGATATGCCACAAAACTTAACTTCCTTCTTCTCCTATTATGCCTCTGATCTGGACAATGAAAAGGGGCACACTTAGAGAGAAACATGCCGCAGATATCTGAGGGTGACTGGCAGATAGTCCTGATCCAATTATGGCCCTAATGATCAGCCTATAAATAAAGCAGCTTTGCCTGTTTTAGATGAGCTTCCCAAAGATAGAAGTCATTTTGTCTTGAGAAGCTTGCAGCCCTACCCAGGGGATGGGCCATGTAAGGCCACAGAAGTTTGAAACCCTCTGTGTTTTTCAAGAGAAAACCACTGGAGCTTCATGTGGGTGTGCCCACATATGGCAGCACAACGTGTGGGATAGATCCATGCTGGGGGTAAAGAGCATGTGCTGCTTTGCTGTGTGTGTGCCCAAAGCCAAAGTAAAGAATCATTTAAAATCCTAGGCATGGACTCAAAAGACAACAGCAAGCAAGAGTCGTCACTTCCAACAATGTGAACCTTTCATGAAGTCTGAAGTAATTTTCCATCCAGAGATTTGTTTTTCATGTTCTCTCCTGTCTGTCTCTGTGTAGGAAATGCCCCAGGAGGGCCCTGCATTCCCATAGGTCGTTAGGTGTTTCACAGAACCTCAGGCCTACATCCTAAGCAGTTTCCTTCCTTTTCTTTCTTTGGTCTGTGATGCTACCAGCCCCTTCCTGAGGTTGATGGTGATCTTCTAAAGCCATGGTGGGAGACCTTTCTATGACCTTGAACACCGAGTAGCATTCATGGACAATTAACTTCCCAACCACGTGCCTGGCTCTCTCTGGCATTCAAATACTGTGCCTGGATGCTGGCATCAAACCACGAGGGTCTGAATCCTGATTCCACTATTTTTTTTTTTTAAGCATGTTAGTGGATAAGCTATTTAGCCTCTTTTGGGTCTCAGTTTCCTCATCTGAAAATTGGGTGCAGTCATAATACCAACCACAAAGCAGGGGTTGTGTGAAAATGAAAATACCTAGCGAAGTGAACACTATCATCTTGGGGAAACTTGAAAAACTCTAGCCCAACCTGGCTTCCTTAAGAAATACTGTATCTGAAATATCTCTTGCTGGGGACAGGCAACTGAGAACAAACAGTTACAGAGAATTTATGGACAGTCTTAAATAATTAACTTAAAAATCATTTTTGTGATGCTTCACCAGACTATTTAAAAATATATAAAAACGAGCACTTTGCCCAGAATTTTAAAGAAAAGCTCTTCTGAATACCCCAATGTTTTTGCCATTATTCAACCTGTGAGGCCACATCACCATTCCCAACATTCCTATCAAACTACCGGGGAATGTTAGAGAATCAGGGTTTAAAAACAGACCATTTTCCTCATTGTCCTTGCTGCAATTAACTGTGCCACACTGGACAAATGTGTTCTCCACCTGCGCTGATGAGGAGCACGTATATGACTATTATTATATTTGTGCGATTTTCCATTTTCCTACAGTTTCTCAGTCTTCTGTACATTATATCCCAAAAATACCTAAAGAGGTACCAGTGTGGAATGAAAAGCAAAACTTAGCCATCTTCAGGCTCTGCTTCTTCTTCAAAATTGGTTTGAGAAGGGGAGAATCCGTTGTGCTATCAAAACCTGGCAATTCTTGGTGAGGATGTGTTTCAAGAAGCACCACATCAGACAACAGTGCAGGATCAGCTCCACGCTCCCGTATTCACTTGAAATTTTTCACATTACATCTTACACAACAACAGCATAAAGAGACATGTGAGAAGTTTCAGAACTGTCCTGCAATGGACACAGCTCTGCCAACAGCTAGCTGTGCGACCTCGAGTAAGAAACACAGCCTCTCAAAGTCTCAGCTCTATCAGCTGTCAAATAGCCTGCAGGACTATTTTGAGAGTTGAATAGCACACGTAAAGTACTGGCACATATAAGTGCTTACAAAATTGAACTGTTTATCATTATGAGACTCCAACTCAGTCCATTAGCATCAAGCACCATTGCATCGGTATCAAGAGTTTTAACTATGAAAAGAAAAAAGGAAGCTCTGTGTAGTTAGGTTCTTTCTGCTCTAACATAAGGGCAGCGCTAAGAGTGAACAGTGAACAGCTCCCAGGCCAGATCCACCATAAAGAGCTCAAGGTATGGTTTTGTTTTTGTTTGGTTTTGGTTTCTTGTAGTGGAGATTGCCACTTAGGAACAGACGGCAGCAAATAAGTATATTAAAATTTCATTGTTCAAATATGTATTTATAATTTCTGTATAAAGTAATGCCCCTTTCAGAAAGAGAAATAAGATTTTATTACCTAGATTGAAATGCCTTTAAAAGAAATCATCATTGACCCTTAAAGGATTTGTTGTTTGGCTTTTTCCATTTTCACCTGACTTGGTTTTTTATTTGATCAGACTACAAACTAGTTGAAACTCGTTTTGTAAGAGCTAGTACACCTTCCTACATCAACATGGAAAAGTTAATTAATCATAATAGCTGTGTGGGACATTGTGTATGCACCAAGTGAGAAGGCTTGTTTGCTTAGTCAATGCCAAAGACCCATGTTTTTATAGAAAGCTGGTGGCTGGTACGTTTGTCTCTATATTCTCAATACAAATATTATCTGAATTCCTTTAACCTGGCCAAGCAATACAGAAGAGACAGGAATCCCAGGGACAAATAGATGAATTGGTATAGTATTTAAATAGATGTAAGATCAATGGATTTCAGCTAATAGATGAGATGTAAGCTCAATGGATTTCAGATGAACAAACAAGTCTAAAACTATTACTGATGAATCCTGAGTACTTATTCAAAAATAAAATTCTGTATCTGTTGGGGTTTATTGGATACTACCTGGAAAAAAGTATAACATTCATGCTATACAAGAATGACAAAATTACTTGGAGGAGAAAGCTTACCTATAATCAATTATAGAATTTTTCTGGCATGTTACTGGGCTCCACAAAGAGCTGTGAACAACGAATTTGACACATGTGGGATCATCTAACTTTCAGTACAGATATTCAGTATGCTAAATGTAAGACTTATTGTCATTACAACTCCACAAATGCTTATTTTGCAGAAATTACAGAGGTAGGTGTTCGGCAAAGTGGGCAGAGTGATGAAGATAAATATATCTTCCAGTTCCCCAAAAAAGCCCAAATAATGTGCTGGAAGATAAGGCCAACACAGAAATGGCAAAACAAGGAAGCAGGGAGCAGGAATAAAACTGGTGAAGAAGGCCAGGTGCGGTCGCTCATGCCTATAATCTCAGCACTTTGAGCAGCCGAGGTGGGTGGATCACCTGAGGTCAGGAGTTCGAGACCAGCCTGGCCAACATGGTGAAACCCCATCTCTACTAAAAATACAAAAATTAGCTGGGCATGGTGGTGGCCACCTGTAATCCCAACTACTTGGGAGGCTGAGGCAGGGGAAACTCTTGAACCCAGGGGCAGAAGTTGCAGTGAGCCGAGATTGTGCCATGACTCTTCAATCTGGGTGACAATAGAGAAACTCTGTCTCAGGAAACATAGAAAAATAAATAAAAAAAAAACAACTGGCGGAGAAAGTAAAAACAGTCACCAGGCATAATCAGGCTTTTTCAGAATCTATCAAAATCCTTTAAAAGTTTATAGCTTTTACTCAGTAATTCCATATTTATAGAAATTTACAATAAGAATGATATCTAAAAATTCACACAAAAATATTTTAAACAAGGACAAATATAAAGAGATAAAACTATGTTTGTATTATTTATATTATGATTAATTTATGCAAATATAAAAAACACTTATAGCAAGGACAAGTTAGAAACAATTAGAATTTCAAGGCCAGGCACGGTGGCTCACGCCTGTATTCCCAGCACTTTAGGAGGCCCAGGCAGGTGGATCACGAGGTTAAGAGATCGAGAACACCGTGGCCAACGTGGTGAGCCCTGTTTCTACTAAAAAATACAAACATTAGCTGGGCGTGGTAGAATGCACCTGTAGTCTTAGCTACTTGGGAGGCTGAGGCAGGAGAATCACTTAAACTTGGGAGGCAAAGGTTGCAGTGAGCTGAGATTGCGCCACTGCACTCCAGCCTAGGCAACAAAGAGAGACTCCGTATCAAAAAAAAAAAAAAAAAAAAAAAAAAAAAAAA